AATAAACTGATTGATTGATTGATTGCAACCCGAAAGGAAATTAATCAGAAGTAAATTGGAGGATTGGGAAAAACCCTGGCCTTTTTACGATACAGCAGTGTCAGTCCAGCTTTCCATCTGAAACCTGCGGTATCCTTCACCCATCCCCATCTAGCTTTAACCATCTTCTTTTTCCAAATTTGATTTATTCCTTCTATCACATCGGAAAGCGACTGACATTAATAGAACCAGACCGAGCCAGGCAGAACCCTGTGCTATGTTAACCAGACTACTGATAAACATACTTATATATTTCTAAATACATACATATTTTAGACAGATAACACCCAGACACAGAACAAATGATCGTGCTTATCACACAATGATCTGTCTTCGGTGGGATTGAAACCACGATTAGTTCATGGGTGGCGGTATTCGCTTTCCATAAAAACAAAAAAAAAACGATATCTATCTTAGCAGTGACAATCACTAAGCAACGAGACCAAGAGCCCCGTCATGATGATCAAAGGAAAAGGTCATGATGATCATAACTCCTGTACACCATGATTAAACAAAATAAATAAAGTATTTTAAAATATGACCAATACAATTTCCCATACCACGAATAACAAAACTCCATGAGTTAACTGTTAGCAGTGCAGCAATCTGTCTTCAAAGCGTTGTGGTCCCAGCCGTGGCGAAATATTCCTTTTAATTAAAACTTCTACAACGTTCTGTTTAAAGCAAAACGCTTTATATGGAAATAAAATGTATGTAAATGGTACGTGGTACCATGGAATACATAAGTGTATGTCAAAATTTAATTATTAGCTATGTAGCGTGAAGGACATTACTACTAATATTACTACTAATTTATTACATATTGCATTTATTATATAATAATGTATTACATATTACATTATTACTAATAATTTTTTACGAAAAATTATTAGTTTTTCTACTTTTTAGTTCGGCTAATGACAAAATCTTGTTTTTTAGTTGTTTTAACCATTATTTATTTATGTTGTTTTCAGTCTTTTATGATCATTATTTCATCATTGAAGACTAAAAAGTAACCATTTAGTAAGTCACATATACTTCAGTAGACGCCTTAGTGTGTGGCATAAGACACTACCGTGTTTTTAATTATGGAAAAATCATTAATCCTGAAGATTCTGATCAGGATAATAAGACAAACTTATTAAGATATTGTATTGTCATCGGTCGTTGAAATCCATGGTGATTTATACTTTTCTCCCGAAGTGATAACTTTAACTAATCTAAGTTGAACTATTTAATATTGAAATTGTTTAACTACAGAAAACCTTTGGCTATTACTTAAGTTTTATGTAAAGCGTCTGTTCAAAATACGGCTAGAGCTGTGTGTTAGAGTGAGAGAGGAGGAGCCTGCCTACCGAAGCCAGACAGACTTACCCTCCCATAAGAAGTTATCACTTCAAAAATTGAGCAATAAATGGATAGGTATATTTGCTTCCAATCAATATTATTCTATTCGATTCAAAAGACAACAAGTGTCAAACACCCCTAGACAAAAGTCTTTAGAAATGGTTGTAAATATAATGAAGGACATCCCTAAGAACCTCGCTAACAAATACCAAACAAGTTCATAATCTAAAGGGAATGTTATCAAATTCCACGATAACTCTACAAGCTGATAACATAGTATTGAAAGTATTTCTAATACACAATCCTGTACCGAGTCTCATTACGCTGCGGTTACGATATTGTTATTCGAGAGATGTTTTACCTTTTGTTGAAGGGATTTATCATTACTTCGATTAACATACAATTAAATAGTCTCTTAATAGAACGAAATAAACCGACTTATCATTTTTCATTTTTCTTGAGATTTTTTCAATTATGTCTTGTTATAGGTGTTAGACCTCTCCCATTGTACCCCACTTCGATAGATTTTCATCCAACTCCTGCCACCCATCTTGCCCAAATCATCACTCCTCCTGGGCATTCTACACTACGTTTGCCTAGATGCAATCTGCACTCAAGAACTCGTTTACCCCAACGGTTGTCGGTTCTACGGTTAATATTTACCTAGACGGGCCTGTTGGTCTAGTGGTTGGTGGCACTGACTGCTAAGCCGGATGACGTGGGTTCGATTCCCACCCAGGACAAATATTGTGTGATGGGCACGGTCATTTGTTCTGTGTCTGGGTGTAACTTATCTATAATATGTATGTATTTAAAAATATATAAGTATGTTTATCAGCGGTCTGGTTCCCATAGCACAGGCTCTGCCTAGTTTGGGATCAGACGGCCGTCTGCGATAGGCTGATGATGACGATGATAGGTATTAGGTACATACTTCTGAATTGCCTGACGTATCGACCAGGTTACACTGGCCGTAATCACATTAAATTAAATTACGTGTGGTGACGGATTAAGAATACAGAGTGTCACCACAACTATTGATCCCGTGGGTGTCGTAAGAGCCGACTAAGGGAGCAAACTACGCAGGACAATAACACTACAAAGAGACGGAAAACTTGTCACAAACCCTATACCGACCCGTCTAGCCGACGTGGTATAGTAGGCCAAAACCTCCTTTCTAAGGAGAGGCCTATGTCCAGCAGTGGACTATTAAAGGATGTTGATGTGATGAAACTACATACTTCTAACAAAAGACTATAAATGTGAACATAGCTAACTTTTTTTTGGTTTATCACTCACCTTAGTAACCTGCCAGTGCAAGTTTTGTTGTACCCAATTATTTACCAAACAACTTTTGGTATTTACGAGTAATACCCATTTAAAAATTTGCTTTCGAAATACATTTTGAGAGCCTGTGAAGGTAGTATTTTGAAGCCTATTGGTATTCTATAGGCCTGATTACTTAGCAGAGTCCTACATAGGCGCCGGACGTCCGACACCCAGAGTATAGTATGTGACGTCAGAACATGATACATGGTAGAGACCAACAAAAGATGTAGATGCGTGTGTATACGCCATTTAACTAAAATTGCACTCTGTTATTATTTTATTATTTTAGCACTGCTATTTATTTGTTTAAAAAAAAATAGCAATGTAGCGAAAGAACATCGGGTCTTTATTGTTTAACATTATTTAAAAACAAAAAAAGTTTAGCTGACGCAGTTCGAAAATTTCATGCCTACAAAATATGATCGGATTGAAAAATTCGGGAAGACTGGATCAGTTGGAGACACTTAACGCACTGGTCGTCCAAAAACAAGCACGAGAGTGTTGTTGAAAGTGTCCAGGAACATCAATTCGCCGTCGTGGACAAGAAAGAAGAAGCTCTCTACAGCGTATACTAACTAAAGATCTTGGTCTCCATACTTACAAAATTCATTTAACCCAACAATTGAAGCCAAATGACCATGCACAGCGAAGAGATTTAGAACATCAACCAGTGAATGGTGATTTTTCGAGCAAAAGTATCCTCAGCGATGAAGCACATTTTCATCTTGATGGGTTTGTCATTATTTGTGAAACGTCCTTCGCAAATACTATTACTTAACTATAAGTCCGGGAATTTTGTTTTTAAATGACTGAGACATATTAGACGAATGCAAACGTCCTGAATCGATTACGATATTATGTGTAGGTAATATAGAATCTAATAGGTACATAAATATCTCGTGTCACGGTGTTTGTGGTCGCACTCCTCTGAAACGGCTGGACCGAATTTAATTATTATTTTGGATGAAGCCGTGGTATAAGTCGAGACAGCAACATGACTCTCCTACAGTAACTAGGACAATATACTGGAACTTACTACAAGTGAAATAATAATAGCTCTAAGAATTTGCCAGTGTACCGGTGACTTATGTTATTATGACTTATAATTACAAAATTGTATCTATTTGAATGGACTTTGGTGAGTATATGACGTAGGTACTACAAGGAGTATACTCGTACTATATACTCTGTGCTAAACAAGGCTAGTAGTGTTATTAGATACATACAAGCAAAAAACATCAACGTCTTCTAGGTAATATTCTTTCACTTGTTTCTTGAAGGAATCAAGTGTTTGTGCACTTCTAATTGCGACCGGTAGGTCGTTCCACAACCGAACCGCTTGGACAGAGAAGGAGACGTCGAGGAATTTCGTGGAATGTCCTGGCATTTTTAGTTTCAGGTTCTCAGACGACCTCAACAGTTTGAGATGTGTGTGATTTAAGAAAGTAAACCGTAATTTGAGGTAACGTGGAGTAAAAGGATTGAATAGAATATTATAGAGAAGAGAAAGAATAGGTGCATTCCGGAGAAGGCGAGCTTGTTGCGATATTCAGAAACATGATCATTTTTGCGAAGTACAAATATAAATCTTATGCAGAGATGTTGGAGTCTCTCAAGCTTATTCAATTGGTTTTCAGTGAGATCTAGATAGATGACATCAGCATAATCAAAGATGGGGAGAAGAAGGGATTGTGCAAGAGCAATCTTGGTTAGAGTAGGTAGAAAGTTGCGTAGTCGGCACAAAGATCCCGCAGCGGAAAATATTTTGTGACTCAACTCTTGTAACTGAGGACCCCAGGATAAGGTACTATCCATGTAAATCCCTAGGTTTTATAGGAATAGGTTTGCGATTGCAAGTAATTGGAGGCAGTTTTGTCCAGTCAATTTTGGAGATCATTCTCGAACTTCCAACCGTATGTTTCATATGTTCATCTGACAGTTAATAATGCTTGAAGACGAGTCAATGCTGGGAGAGATCGTCTGTTCATCAATTTACATTTAACTTTTCGCAGACGTTTTTACACAATTTAAATTTAAAAAATACCTGATACATTTTTTTTTGTGATTTCGTTAAAACTCGACAATAGCTGCCAAATAAGAAAAAAGAAAATCGGTTAAAAAACATGAGATTTTTTTTAACAGTAATATCTAGCCTACGTATAAGGGAATAATTTTAGAATAAATTGTCAAAGTGAGTAACATTAATGTTTTAGGCGAACCGATAACTATGTTATGAAAGGTTGTACCTACGGTATTAAATACAATAATCACAACTAAGAACTCACCTCTTTCCAAATAGCAGTAGGTGTAGGGCTGCGCACGCGCAGCGGCCCGCGCAGGCAGCGCACGCGCTCCGCCGCCGCGTGCCTGTGCGCACCGCGCGATCAGCTCCACCCAGCGCTCCACCACCTTGTCTCTGCTCCCACAAAGAACAGACGTCATATTAATGTACTTCATACGTATACAAAAAAGGTTCTGTTAAAAAAGTCGGACTTTATGACGACAGGCTCTAGTGCCAGATATGCGTCTCTGACCTGCTAGAGCTATTTCTGTATTGGGGAGTGTAATCAATGGTTATCTTTTCCTTTAAATATTCTAAACATTTACCAATCTTTAATTCCAAATGTGAGTTTTTGATGGTAATAGACGTTGTTCATTTAAAGAGTAGAGAAATAAACTAAATTGTATCGCTAAAATGCAGTTGTTTAAGACGCCTATATCTACATTTTCAAGGGTACAGGCATGTATGTATATACGTACACAAAAACCCGCCGAAACCTTAAGGTTGACAAAAATTGAGCTTTAAGAAACGATCAATGCTATTATCTGACCTGCACAAATATCCAGCGGGCGTCAAAAATTCCTCCCATCTATCAGCCTCTCTGCCCAAGAGGCGTATACGTCCATAGCCGACCGGTCCATCTTGAAGCCGACAGTCTTCTCCAGCATTCAAAGGCGGAAGGGAATCCAAAGTTACCAGATATTCCAGGGAACGAGAACGCATCTGTTGGAGAATTCAGTTAGTTTAGTGATGTAACTATTTATGCATAAACATTATGTCAAGTTTTCTTAAGGGTCACTAAACTGCAGTTCATAGCATGAAGTAATGCAATGGAGGTAATTAATGAGAGAAAAGGAGGCTTCTTCTCTTAAATTTGCCAGAACAAAGTAACATGTGGAGTCCATGAGCTTTAATTTAAGGTTGGCAGTTGACAAGGCATTCTAAAGTCCTAACAGAAAAGGCCTGACAGAGTGTCGTGACATGAGGCAGATCCATCTGTTGAAGAAATCTAGGGTACGTGCTTAGCTCACGCAATGTTGAATTGTCAACTACGGATGACTAATGCCCAGTTCCTGATCCATATCCACTGGAATTAGTATGAAATCTGCGAAAAAGAATCTCAGAAATAGGTAAAATTTCTGAAATTTAAATCATGAATGTGCCTAAAAATCTTTTGCACGTTTCTTCTTGTTAGGAGTTAGGTGGATTCGATTCAAATACTAAACCACTACAGCCATACATAAATAGTAGTAGACCTACTGAATACCAATATTTATCATTTAAGTGCTGAATTAAATTGAAAATCTATTCAGGTTTTGTCATACATTAAAAACCTCATAATACTGCTCTAACTAAACTCTCAAACGGTGGTGATATTTGTCTTACTTATTCATCTAGATAGACTTACAGATTAAACTAAGTTCCGGGACTGCTTAGACACGAACTTTGTGCTAACACGCAAGTAATTCTTAACTCTGGCAGCGAACTACGGGTGTGTTTTGACGTTTATCTTATCACAAATCAGCTGATATAAAAAAACATTACTATTAATCAATTGAGTGAGAGAATCTATTGATGATGCCTTTTTTTTTCCGTGCGGAAATCCCCTCGGATACCACCTGTCGGTGGCATGTCGGACTCGAACCGACTAAAACCGCACGCCGTCTCGGGTACTAATAGCCGGGGAACCAGGTATACCCTAGAAAGGAAGTCCCTGGTGCCCCGACATACCTCGGGTCATCTACAGATGAGTAGACGACCCCCCCCCCCCGTGTGGGAACCCCATGTTCCCTGTGCTCCCTGGAAGCGAGCGTGCTTCGTAACGCGATCGCCGCCACCCCGGCCTGCTTCTGCTAGGGTGACAGATGGCCTCACCTGTCCCCCCAGGCCTGATATTGATGATGCCTAGGTTCCAACGCTTATGGTAGGCTAATAAGCTATCCTGAAGATTCTTTATACAGAAGAACAAAAAGTATATTACAATGATGTTTTCCTATTGCCACAGATGACCTTGATGATTGATTCGTCTCTTAATTAACGACCTTCATATGAAATATGAAAAACTGAGTTGGTAAACATTAAAAAGAAATTATTATTTTTAGAAGCGAAGGGCAAATGCCAGAACATCATCCATAAACTTACCTTTTTGCCTCGATGCAGTGCTATGAGATGACAGCATCGAAACCGAGAATCTCTTTGTCCAGCTCCATCTACTATTCTCTGCACTAAATTCTCGACAGTACTCTCCAGTCCCGTTGATATTCGTCCTTAATAAAATTATTTAATAAATAATATAGTTAATTACGCAGAATATGTTTAACCATCTTTACTGTCATTTGTTAAATAATTATGTTATAAGTAAATATAAAGACTAAACCTTGAGTAATATAAAATGCTGTTTCAAAAATATCTATAAAATATTCAGTGCCGACCTTTTTGATCTTCCTCCCACAGGGTGTCTACATAGGAGTTGAGCGTCCGAAGCTGGGTAATAGTAAACCGGAGTCCAGAGGCGGGCAGGCGCAAATCACCGCCTGGGGTTTCAGTCGCCAGTCCAGACGCACCCGACCCCATTTCTGATGACGAATGACAAATAATATCAATTAGATTTTTACGATTTTTTTATTTAGATTGTACGTGTGGTGACGGATTAAGAATACAGAGTTTCACCACACCTATTCATCCCGTGGGTGTCGTAAGAGGCCACTAAGGGGGCAAAGTACAGGACAACAGCACTGCAGAGAGAAGGAAAACTTGACACAAACCCAATACCAACCCGTCTTTCCAGCGTGGTGTAGTAGGCCAAAACCTCCTTTCTTAGGAGAGGCCTATGTCCAGCAGTGGACTAGTAAAGGCTGTTGATGATGATGATGAGATTTTTACTCCTTTGAAACTTCTAAACTTCACGTTTTTCCTACCCTTTGGGAAAAGTTTGAAAAATAAGTCATGAACGCGTTAATTTCCGTAAACATAATTAAATATTATGGAACGTGAACCTAAAACTTAGTATAAATGTACTTTTTAAGTTTTCATCCAGTTCATATGTACATTTCAAATACTAGTTCATTGTATTTAAACTTTTTTTTTTAAAGAAAATTGAGATTAAAATGCACCATTAGCAATCTACTTCATTTTCAACAATATCTTCTATGTGAACATCGTTTTATATCATACCAGTTCAATAACAATTGATTGTGTTACATGATTACACGGTGTGCGCGGGCGCATAATGTACCGCGACAACAAAATGGCAGCGATAGTCGCACTTCCGCCGGAAACACTTTATGTGTCGCCGGTCATGCGCACAGGTGACCGTGGCCACTGTTATCTAGAACTGTTTACATTTTTAGGTACGAGGGATTCTCCCGAATTACTGAGATCACGACACGTTTATGTAGAAATTTGATGTTCTTAATCGTTTTCTGTACTTGTGGTACTCGTCTGGTAGTGTCATTAAATAATTAATCTTAGAAAATTTTCAACGTCCGTGAGCACTAGCTAAGGAATAACATATCGGACTGGACTTCGTCACAGCTAAAGAAAATCGCGGCTAGAAAAGAAAGTAGCTTACTATCCCGATAGAATAGTGAACTACCATTCGTCGTAGTACTTTCATCTATGTCAAGCTCCCGTTAAGAAAAGAGTCAGCATTTTGACACATTGGATTATCCCGTTTATAGGCGCATTGTTCTCTCAGTAAGTCGTTTAGTAATCATTATCATACTATTTAAGACTCATTCAAGTCGGCTGAATTTCAAGGTGACAAGGACTTAGGACGGCTCCTTGTCAAGACCGTTTCCCTCTACAGCTACGGACCCCCCATTTTGACAGCGGCCGGAGGTCTTGATTTTAAAATAATTATTTTGACACATAATTATTTTAAAATCAAGACCTCCGGCCGCGACTATCTTTCTGTATGAACGGATTTTTCTGGAACTACGAAACGGATTTTTATACGGTTTTCACCAATAGGTAGTGTGATTCCTGAGGAAGTTTTAAGTATATAATCCATGCTGGTTTTATGTAAATTGAAATATAACGATTACTGTTAAAGAGGTCGGAAAAATATTAATGCTGTTTAAAAAAAGATCACCGTTATCAAAATCCAGGCTGGCAAAGCTGCGGGCAGGAGCTAGTTAAGATATAATCAGAGAAGTGTAAATAATAAGAGAAGGCAGTGATAAGGAATGTGAGCAATAGAGCACTTGCTCTATTGCTCACTTTCGAGCCGTTCAAGGTCATATACCTGTAACTTAAGTTAGCTATTTGCCGGGAAGTTCGACTTCTGTAACTTATGTGAATATTACCGGAATTCAATACCGATTAAAACATCAGACAGGCGATAACGAAATGTATAATTATAATATTCTAGCAATTGTCCATAAACAGTCAGTCCCTTGAACGGACCGGTGGAAGGTCAACTATTCATAAAACAAAAGGTAATAGAATATAAAACGGCTGTGTTACTTGTAATTGAGTAATTACAAACTATAATTAACGGCAAACAACAAAATCTAGCTAACACGCAAGTCGTAAAAGATCATACCCTGAATATATCGTTCGTAACAATGTATACCTTTTGGTGTTATCAATAAAGTTTAAATTTGCAATTATATTTTTAATATGCTATGATTAGTTTTCCCGCAACTATTGGTGAAGAACATGAAAACTTTAATAAATCTTAGAGGAAAAGGATAACCGACTTCAAGGTTCCTAAATCATGACAAATCACAATAACTTTTTTTTATAGCATGGGTAGGGGCTAACCGTGTGGTGACGCATTAAGAATACAGAGTGTCACCACCCTTATTCATCCTATGGGTGTCGTAAAAGCTGACTAGAGGAGCAAACTACGCAGGACAACAGCACTGCAAAGAGAAGGCAAATTTAACACAAACCCTCTACCAATCTGACTGGTACGTGCCAACGTGGTATAGTAGGCCAAAATCTCCTTTCTAAGGAGATGCCTACATATATGCCTACAAACGGGTTGCCTGATAGTATGTGAATCTCGCAGGCCATGGACACTTACAACCCAAGAGTCAAAAGTGCGTTGACTTCCAGAATTTGGGTTGGAGGAGGAGGGGTCCGGATGTCTTAATAACAGCTGTTCCCGGATCCCTCCTATTACAGGCGCAGAGTGGCACACCGTGTGGTTTTATTCGGTCCGAGTCCGACACACCACCCCGCCGCAAACCCCGGTGGGGTGACGGTCCGAGGGGATTTCCACACGTTCCACAGGTTAGGCTTCCTGTAACCCCACTCCCTCAGTAAAAAGCAACAAAAGAACTGTTAAACACCGGTTTTCTGTGACTCTGTGGTAGCACTCAGTTCGAGTCGACCCGTACATACCGTATGTGTGTTGTTGTTTTATAAAATTGAACCTAACGACGAATGATCTTCCAGCAATGAGTTCCGTACGTTAACTTCGTCGTAGGGTTTACAAAAGTTTATCTTAATCCATAACTTGTATGTGACAGCCCTGATGACGCAAACAGTAATAAGTAACAATTACCTCTTACCATCAGCTAAACCATCAAAACTGAGGTAATATATAAACTAATTAAAAATTGGTTCATCTTGTGCTTTTTTAGGAAAAATAATTCATATTTTTAAACCATGCTAATTGTAAAACTTTATTAGCATTTTTTTTTTTTTGAGGTAACGAATCCGAATATAAAACGGCGCATTCTATGTTTCAAAATTCAGACCCAAACCTATCAAAAAGGTTACACGCTACGCTCTAAGGAAATTTCTGTAATCTTTATCACAAATTACGTAAATTGTACCTATTTGTATAAAGACCGTATTTTAAAAATAAAATAGAAGATAGAACTTTGCAATTAAGTTTAAAAACTTGTAAATGTTACTTTTATTAATTTAATAAAACATTTAGAGATTACTTTTTTGTATTGGCAACAAAAACTGATAGTATGAATACTTATACCAATAAATTAATAAGTATTTATAATTTAAATTAAAGATAAATCGATCTATAGTTTATTTATTTTTATTTATTTATAACTTTATGCACTTTTGTACATCGGCGAACTTAATGCCCAAGGCATTCTCTGCCAGTCAACCTTTGCATGCAAAAGAGTGGCCATGAGTTTGTTAGCCTTTTCTTCTCATAAGTCTCAACCCCTTGGAAACGGGCGGTTGTAGATCGGCACAGGCAAATCATAGATTTTGTATGGGTTTCATTTTTGTTAAATTTATTTGCTTACTAATTGACAAAACAGAGATTGTTGCTTTTGTGTGTGTTGATCTATGAATTTAGAGTCTACATAAAAGACGATTTCAACCAATTTCAACATTTTATGAAATAAAGAGAGTTTGAGTTCAGGTAGTGTAGAAATCGTGAGTGGTAGGCGTATATACGTCTATTGTCTCTTCCGAAAAGTCACAACGTCACATTCGCGGTAATTAATACCGATCGAATGTTATGGTCATTTATAAGGTACATTAACAATAAGGACAATTAAAGACCTTAAAAAAAATAGCTCTTCAAGTCATTTCGTATTCATTCGTCGTTCATCTTGCAAGTCTGAATCTTCACTATTATATTTTTATAAACAACAAGTATTTAAGTTTTTCTAGGCGTAATAATTTGCCTTATTGTCAACTTAACTATCAAATATTTAGCTAATCGTGGTTCGTAATGAAAAACATTGACTGAAGTATCTTTACCGGTCTTTTGTTCGTACCTATACCTACTTAACACGCTAATTGTCAAACTTAACCAATGACTATACTCATTAAGATTCAGTTTTGAGCGTTCACTAGATAAGAATTCAAAGTAGGTACATTTATGTAACTACATAAACGACATGGTGTGTATAAGACTAGGAATCTCATCTTTCAATACATTTCCTAACCGTATATAATATATACTTATATCACACATCTCACACACGGCCGTCTGATCCCAAACTAGGCAGAGCCTATGCTATAGTAACCAGACTGCTGATAAACATACTTATATATTTTTAAATACATACCTACATATTATAGATAAATTACACCCAGACACAGAACAAATGACCGTGCTCATCACACAATATTTGTCATGGGTGGGAGTCGAACGTATGACTGACTGACTTATAAATCGACAAAAATCAACATAGCTTGAGGATGGTAGGGTGTTGGCGCGGCGAGGCAGCCAGCACTGCGGCGGCAGGCGCGTGAGCGGTAGATGTCCGGTAGAGTAGAAGTCTAGAGTCCAGAGTAGCGATCCAGTAGAAGTCTACATAAATGCCAATAAAAACTACCTTTTATTGATATTGATTGTGTATATAGTACGTAGATTAAGCGGCCGTACCGTAATTGGTTCGAACCCCGTCCAGTACCGATGTAAATCTAATTCTAAAAATCATTTAGCTGTAGAGGTTAACAAGAATGCCAGTGGCATGTGACGTTACAATTTAAAAAAAAAGGATATAGAAAGCATACATTCTCTTAAAAAAACTGTTTTCTACTGTTCTGCTGAAAATCAGTGCTCAAATCATTAATAAAATTTGCACCTAATTTTTTAAGTTTAGAAAGACAGCTGGTATAAAAGAAATCATGGGAAATATGAATAAAGATTTTTTTTTATATATAAAAGATAAACAAGACCATGGACATCGTAATCATCGTCATCATTTCAGGCAAGGGAAAGCTGCTGAACTATGCTATGCCTTTCCTCGATGACTTTCTAGTAGACTGGTTGTAAGCGGTCTGTATCCAGATTAGCTACATGGTCTTATAACGTCACCTGTCCACCTCGTTGGTGAACGTTGGACGCAGCATCCTAAACCATGAACATTGACATAAAAATTGATGTGCCGTCCTTCCGTCACAAATTTGTTTCAATCAATACAATCATCAATTCAATTTAAAAAAAAACATTTTATACATAAAAAGTGATTCGAAATTAAGCCACTACCATATACCATAAGTCTCAAGCCAAAGCCTTCTTGTTATTTCCCTAGACAAGCTACAAGCGTACATATTAGACATCAACCTCACTAAATATCGTAGTTAACAAATTAGGGGGTGTACCAAATCTGTTATTTATCGTTTTTATAACCAGTAGCTATTAGGTATTGGCTTCCGTCCGCCAGTCGTCGCTCCATCACAATGGGTAACGAATGACTAGTCATTGTGTTGGCTAATGCCACTCATTAACAAACTCTTAATGTACGTGGTAGCTGTTATGTTTCCTGGTATATTTTTTGGCAGGTAAAGAAATGTGTTGATGGAAAATTTGTGAGTCTCCGAAAATAAATATGACAACGCTGTATATTTATTTTGAATACTATTACACTAACGATAAAGTACGGTTGAAACTGACTAGCCTTTTGCTATTTTGTACTTAGAGAGTTTACATAATGTTTTATTATTAAGTTGAAACTTATTTTTCATGCTTATTAATGCTTTTGAAAAAAAAAACCAGTGACAAACTTAATTAATTAAGAACAGTTAAGATATCCGTGTGGTGACGGATTAAGAATAAGGAATGTCACCACCCCTATTAATCCTGTGGGTGTCGTAAGAGCCGACTAAGGGAGCAAATTACGCGGGACAACAGCACTGCAAAGAGAAGGAAAACTTGAAACAAACCCTGTACCAACCCGTCTGGCCAGCGTGGTATAGTAGGCCAAAACCTCCTTTCTAAGGAGAGGCCTATGTCCAGCAGTGGACTGTTAAAGGCTGTTGATGTGATGATAATGTGACGTGTTCAAGTTCTAAGGTATATATTTATGTTGTAACACGACAATTGCCACGATCACTTAACAGGTATAACATGCCTTTGACTGTGACCTGTCAGCCTGTGACCACGGCCAACCTAGTCGAAACGTTAGGCAATTCAGAGGTAATTAATACCTTGAAAGGTAAAAATTTCTACTTTTCTTGTGTAAAAAAAAAGACGAACAGATTTCAGTAAAAATAATAACTTCACAAATCTCACACACGGCAGTCAGGTCCTAAACTAGGCAGTGCCTTTATTACGGGAATCAATTTGCTGATTAACATACTTACATATATTTCTAAATACATACAAATGATTGATAAATGACACCCAGACACAGAACAAATGGTCGTGCTCATCAAACAATATTTGTCCTGGGTGGATATCGAACCCACGACCTCTGGCTTAGCAGGCAGGGTCACTAACCAATAGACCAACAGGCCCGTCAACAAGTGCATTACAATTTAAATTGTTAAACATTTAAGTCATTACGTAAGATATCGTATAATGTCTAAGGAGTATTTACTCATTTTATGGTGTATCATAAAATCCTTAAATATTTGCACTTCCAGCATCCATAATCCCTTTGAACGTTTTAATCTCGTCAAGTAAAGAGATTAACTTGACACTGCAAATCACCATGACTCATCAGCCATGGTTGCATGGGAATTAAGGCCATGGTTTTTTAAGTGGATGACAAGACACGATAATCAATTTCTTTCATGTTTAGTGAATAACATTACCTATTGTAATTACGTATTTGTGAATTCATTTACCATTCACGGTATTAGTTGTTTAAATGGATTTTAAAAATATATTAAAATTATGGTTTCTTTCTTTCGAGAAATTACGCATAGAACAAACTCACTATCCTGTGTTAGAATCGAATCCACTACCTCTGATTCAGCTGTCAGGGTAATATACACTCGGCGAGCGCGTTGCGAAGCGCGCTCGCTTCCAGAGAGCAGAGGGAACATGGGGTTCCCACACGGGGGGTGGTCGTCTACCTGTTGTTGTAGATGGCCCGAGGTATTTCGGGGCACCAGGGACTTCCTTTCTAGGGTATACCTGGTTCCCCGGCTATTAGTACCCGAGACGGCGTGCGGTTTTAGTCGGTTCGAGTCCGACATGCCACCGATAGATGGTATCCGAGGGTTTTCCGCACGGAAAAAAAAAGGGTAATATACACTGACATCAATCAGTTATTTCATGCCTTTTTGCTCCCATTGCTTTCCATAGCCCATTGTAGTAACCTATTAATTAATAAAAAAAAAACAATATATTACAATTAAAATATTTAACTGTAATGTATTGATAACTCTCTTTCTTAGGTGGTTCAGGCATTTTAAAGTGAATTGAAAATGTTTTTATTAGATAGATAGATTACACACACATCAAGAGCCTTTAGTAGTCCACTGTTGGACATGACCCTCTCCTTAGAAAGGAGGTTTCGGTCTACGATACAACTCTGGCTAGACGGATTGATATAAGGTGTGTGTCAAATTTTCCTTCTCTTTACAGTGCAGTCGGCTCTTACGACACCCACGGGATGAATAGGGGTGGTAACACTCTGTATTCTTAATCCATCATCACACGAACAGATTTATAGAAGACAGATTCACGATTTATAGATTTAATTAAACTTAACTAGTCATGTAGACTACAATTTTAGTCTCACTTACGTAAAAGAGGTCCAGGGCAAACCTTTTACCGTCAACCAACCACCAACCAAGACACATATTTTTATAAATAAATATACTTACTTATATATTTCCCAATACATACACATTTTACATAAATTAGACACAGAACAAATTATCGTGTTTCTCTCAAAATTTTTATCATGGATAGGAAGCGAACGATCCACTACAACCCACGAGCTCAGACTTGGCAGTCAGGATCGATAAGCATTTGATCAACAGCCTTTTCTAAATATAATAAGTAGGTATATTCATTGATGAATGTATATTTATAATCAGTAATTACAATTGTAACCTCGGTGCACCTACCTTATAAGATTACTACACCACCCTAAGGGTGGCTGGTAGAGAATGCTAAAAACACCGCCGATAAACAAGAGTGCATAAAGATGTAAAATAAATCAATAATAAATCTTTATAATAGTAACAAATTTTTACTCGTTCTCTCAAATAGATACAGTCTCACAAGAAAGATTTCTCAAGGTAGGTGGTCTATGTGAGAGACTCGTTTATATACGACAGACTGTCCATAACTGGACCAGATGAGATCTTGTTTGTACAATCTTCACGAACTATTTCGCATCGTAATGCATTTTGGAAGTAATAAAACAACAAAAAATACCTACCTTCGAACAAATCCACACAAACTAAAAACCAACTTCCATAGCTGTCAAAATTGGCGCGCAAAGCACGAACTTTATTTCACTGAGGCACAGGCGTCGCGCCACACTGCCGGCTCACAACAAATGTTTGGTATTTGGAAACAAAATGTTTACGTTGTCGTCCACCTTTGTAACCATGGGTAGTTAGAGGACAGGCCGGTTATTATTTTGTCCATTGTGTACTCTTTCCGCTTTACATTTAGTTGAAAAAAAAAGATGTCATTGGCTGTGAATTATTTTAATTTAACAAACTTGGTAGAAGTTTTACGAGGATTTGATTTATAGAAATGCAGCCTATCAGATGAATAGCTTGTCTTATCTTAAGTATACTCATGACATTACTCCCATTTTTTGATGGTTAAGGGGAACAAACAAGCAGCAATTAATAAAATTATCGAAGTTGTTGTTTTAAAAGTATTCTTAGGTGTGTCTATGACCACGATTCATATCGATAAGACTACAATCGGTACAATTCTAGAGATACGTCGGGTAACCAAACACGATATTGAGTCTTATAATTATTTTCGCTGTTCAGTCTTGATTTAGGCATCTAGTTTTAAAATATAAATCTGAAAACCACACTCGTATAACCTTTTATTAAAAACTTGCTGTACTCTGCCACCTGCCCACCCTGCAAAGAGAAGAAAAACTTGACACAAACTCTATACCAACCCGTCTCGCCAGCGTGGTATAGTAGCCCAAAACCTTTCTAAGGAGAAGCCTATGTCCAGCATAGACTATTAAAGGTTGTTGATGATGATTATGAATGTACTCTGCCATGCTTCACAGTGGTACATTGTGATTGCATTAATGAGAAATGAGGACCAAAAGTAACGTAAAAAATAGACGAAAACCATCTTTAAAACGTGTTGTATATTGTGTCAAAATTTGAGCTCAATCGGTCCAGGACTTTTTGAGTTTTTGAAGCGTACACAAACCAAATTAGCATTTTTATGTTTACAAATATAAAGCATTTTTTTAGGCTAGAAAATGTTCTAATACTGTCAAAGAATTAAACACTTTTCGCAATTTTCTAGAGTGGGTAACACAGCAGACAGAGAAGGTGAGCGCTGATGCGTCGCAAGGAGTACTCCCTAAATTTACTCCTGGATCGCAATGCCCAGGCTCTGTCGAAGTCGCATGTGTTGCCTCATCTATCACGCGATGGACCCGGCACTCGCTCGGTGAATCCATAGACCGCTAAGAATGAATACTCTATTTTAACTCAAGTCAATGCAATTTTTGTAAAATACCTATAATGAAATACCGTGAACGAGCCATTAGCGGAACACTGTCTTCCAAGTTACAGGAATACCTAGTTTGGTGGGCAGGGTCTACTTTGTACACCTCATTCGGTTATAATATGTTTATTGGATTGTTTAATTGTAACAAAGGAATTGAAGTTCAATAAAGTTATTATTATATTATTATTATTATTTTGGTGATCTGTAACTCGTCTTTTACCACAGACACCAGTTTCTTACAAAGGAAATAATTGTTATACCCATTCCGACTTGTAAAAACATCTGAAAAGATTTACTTCTTATATTTGCATGTCCATTTAGTGTTATGTAAATCATTGAACTGTAGTTACCGTTTTCAAATGAATCAATACCTTAACATAATAAAAAGATATTATTATCAACCGCCTTTAATAGTCCACTGCTGGACATAGGCCTCTCCTTAGAAAGGACGTTTTGGCCTACTATACCACGCTGGCCACCGGGTTGGTATAGGGTTTGTGTCAAGTTTTCCTTATCTCTTCTTCTTCTAAAAATATATGAAAAAATATATTTATTATGTATAAAATAAATAATGATAAATTAAACACTGAATGATCTGGGACAAAAGTGTCTGCAAAAAGTCTTGTTACACCTTTTTCGATCTCGCACCCATCCGCTCAGAGCAGGTATGTAACTCGCGATAAGGAACTTCGTTCTAAAATTCAATAACAACTATTAAACATTAAATAAATTACAACTTACTTAAATATGTTAAAAACTTTGACACGCTCCCGTACACATGAGTCGCACAAACCGGTATAGTTCTGTTATCAACAAAGTAAAATGCCTTATCGGACTTGTTTCCCTCCTAAATGTACGTTTTTAGCCGAAGCGGTATTAAAAACCTATTAGCAACGTAGTGAATTCCTTTGAACACCCCAATGTTGACGCAATACCGAATAAGTTTTATGTTATGCTTTATTTTAAGGAGAATTAAAGTATTGGAATAAATTTTCAATATAGTATTTGCTATGATAGCTCTGTCTTTCAATATAGACGGTCTAGTGGTTAGTGTTCCTGACTGCTAAGCCTAAGGGTCCTCTGACCCTTAGGCTTAGCAGTCAGGAACCTCGTCTGGAACCTGTCTTGGGTGTGATTCCCACCCAGGACAAATAATTGTGTGGTGATCACAATCATTTGTTCTGTGTCTGTTTGTATAATACAAATGTATTTTTAAAATAGTTAAGTATGTTTATCAGTAGTCTGGTTACCGTAGTACAGGTTCTGCCGAGATCAGAGTCAGACTGCCGTGTGTGAGATGTGTGAAGTTATTTTTTTTAATTAAAGTCGTGGAGTTATTGTAGTTAAAAATGGTAAAAGAAAAACCCTAATTTAGAACGTATGACAAACTTGAAAATGCGTAAACCATTGAAAATATCCAAGTATATAACGTCAACACCTAATTGGATAATAGATATAAGTTTAAGAATGATGATAGCACATAAAAACAAAACAAATTGATGGAACATGACACAGCCACTATAATAATCGTTTTCTTGACAAAACTACAGAGATAGATAGATAGATAACTCTATTGTACAATAAAAACAATAATATAAAATACAGTTTGTATACATTGGTGTGAATCTAATAATCTAAAGTTATATAGATGAAACATAGAAAGTAAAATATTAAAGGTTGTACAATTGGGGGCCTTATCGTGATTTGCGGCAACCACTGGATTTAGAATATGAATGAGATAGGGTGCTCTACACGTATACAAAAATTTATCGAAATAATTCACCTTTTAAGACATAAAAACAACATATAACACATACTCATATAGGTCAACCGGAGTCATACCACTGCCTTACCGTTACTTAGAAAGCCGGTATGACCAATCTGTTCATAGCATTTCATCGTGTAAGTAAAGTTAAAAGAAGCCCAAGTCTCCTCCAGGGGTCACTCAAAGGCCGACAACGGTGTTCATAGCGGTAGGTGTGTTCGTGTGCGGTAGCAACTTACCATCAGGAGTCGTGTGCTCATTTGCCTCCTATATTATAAAATAATACATAGATAGAAAGACAGACCGAGCTACTTATTTATTTGGATACAACTTCATATATTTGGATACAGCTCTCAGTACTTAGTTAAGTGCTAAGGTTCATTTTAATTTCAAAGGCGCGGTCTCGGTGTGAAACAATTTCAACTTACGCCATTACTGTGAAGTGGATCATCCAATTAACATTTTAGATCGAGTCTTGTTCAAGTACAATCTTATGAATTTGTATCAATTGAAAGCACTTGTTTAGATAAAATATTATGGAAACATTACAGAAGGATATTTCTGTAAGGCATTTATTGTGAATTTATCTATTTTATTTCTATTTATCTATAATATTAGGTAGCAGTAACAGGTAACGGGAACAATTTGTGACCCCAGTTTCCCCTTAACACTGAAAGGATCAATTTATAAAACTATACTATATAATAATATATATATTTATAATTTATGAATGGCGTAGTGGTTTGTGTAACGGACTGCTATTCCTATGGTTTGATTCCCGCTCAAGTCAAACATTTGTGTGCATGAACATTTAATGTTTGATTTGGTCTGGGTGTTTCTATGTAAAATAAGTATGTATATACAAAAAAAACGTATATATGTATTTATATCAGTTGTCTAGTACCCATAGTACAAGCTCTGCTTAGTTTGGGACTAGATGGTGTTGTGTGAATGTGGTCCAATATTATTATTATTAATATAATAATAATATTATCATCAGACCTGCCGTCCTGTATGGTTCTGAAAGTTGGCCCATTAAGAAAACGGATGACGATACCTGAACGTAGCCGAAATACGAATGCTGAGATGGATGTGTTGTGTGACTCAGATGGACAAGGTTAGGAATGAGTATATACGAGGGAGTCTGAAAGTAGCGCCACTGGATGAAAAGTTAAGAAGTAATAGGTTATCTTGGTATTGACATGTCATGCGGAGGGATGTGAAAAATGTAGCCAAGAAAGTGTTAGGTATGGGAGTTGAAGGCTACAAGAGAAGTGGAAGACCAAAGAAGAAGTGGATGGACTGTAATAAGAATAATAATAATTTATTGACATTACATTAATTTCAGAATTCTTTGCTTCCTGTAGATACTGTGTCGCAGGAGCCAGTATCAGACAGTCTCAGTGACAGTCAAACTGTGTGAGTGAGAATATGGCTAGGAAGGAAGACCCCAAAAAAATGCCCTAAGGGTAGGCAGATGATGATATAAATATGTTACAGGTAAATATTATTGTACAGGATTTGGCCTTATTGTCGTGGAGGAACTTGTTTTTCTTGATTTAACCAAGTTTTCTCGCAATTTTACTCTGTTTCTTGTGGATAAAAAATTACGTGATATTTGCCGAGACCCCCTCTCTCCCCCTCCTGAACGCCTCACGTAATTAATGGACGCCCCCTTACTGCTTAGTTTCAAACTAGATGGCTTTGTGTGTAAGATGTCCGAAAATAATTTACTATTGTTATTATGAACTTATCATTAGGCAAGTGTCCATACTGGGTCTGCCATATTGTCAACATTTAGTTGTCATTTTGTTATTAAGCTAATAACACCGTTTTTCAAAAACCATGTTAAGTAACTCTTTTGGTTACCGGAGACCTAACTCATCCGAATTAATTATGTGCATTAAAAAACAATCAAAACTATAAAACTATCGAACCAATCACTGGGCATGTCCACTGTTAGACGTTCGATGTAGGTATGTTTAAAATAATATTTGAACTGCAATGTAACTTTAACCAGTTGTCATTGACGAGTTTACAAGCACACAATTAACGGACACAAAGGAAACACAGGCCAAACTGAGAACAACTATAAACCGACTCGAATATTTGCATTTTGCATTCGTGCAGTCAAGTACAATCCTAACATATAATAAAATGAAGTCCC